AAGCAAAAGACACTTTTGGTCCCTATAGTTCTAGTTTTCCAGAATTATCTTTTTGGTCCCTGAAGCTTTTAGTTTGCAAGAATTACAATTCTTGTCCCTGTAGTTTTAATTTTCCAAAATTACATTTTTAGTCCCTGTAGTTTTTAATTTGTATAAATTACATTTCTGGTCCCTGTATTTTAAATTTCCAGAGTTACACTTTTGGTCACTATGAAAGAGGAAAATAAGCAAAAGACAATTTTGGTCCCTATAGTTTTAGTTTTCCAGAATTATATTTTTGGTCCCTTAAGTTTTTAGTTTGCAGGGCATACATTTCTGGTCCCTTTAGTTTTAAAATTTTCCAAAATTACATTTTTAGGCCCTGTAGTTTTTAATTTGCATAAACTACATTTCTGGTCCCTATAGTTTTAAATTTCTGGAATTCACTTTTCGTCCATTTAGTTTTTAATATGAAAGAGAGAAATAAGCAAAAGACACTTTTGGTCCCTATAGTTTTAGTTTTCCAGAATTATATTTTTGGCCCCTGAAATTTTTAGTTTGCAGGAATTACATTTCTGGTCCCTGTAGTTTTAAATTTCCGAAATTACACTTTTTGGTCGACGTAGTTTTTAATTTAAAAGAAATGAGGGACTTACACCTTGGTCCCTAGAGTTTGCAATGTTCTACACTTTAGGCCCAGGTTTTGATATTTTTTACAAGAAGACTAAATTAGAGTCAGAGTCCCTATGGTTTTCTACAAGGTGTAAAGAAAAATATAAGTACATTGTTGTTATGGGTTACATTACTTACATATTGCTAGTATTGGTGTAAAAGTGTAAGTATGATTAAGGGTTAAAGATAAGATAAAAGATAAATAAGAAAACATACCCCATTCAAATTTCTACTACTGCAAACGATTCGACCAGTCTTCATGTTGAGAAGTGTTGCAACATTTTTCCCGGGGAGCATCTTGTGTTGACAGATGTCACACACTCTTTCTGAAGCTAAACGTTGTCTTGCCCTAATTTCTTTCCTTGTACATTTGTTTGGGAAAACTCTTAATTGGAGTGAGTTATCATCATAAACTTCTACAAGATTTCTTGAATTAGAACTACCCGATGCCAAAGATTCTTCACTGGAAGATTCTTCATATTGGTTGCTCAAAGATTCACTATAATCTTCAGGATCAGATAGTGATTTCCTCTTTTTTCCTTTAGTGTTTGTATTCCCCTCTATTGCAGGTCTAGAACTTGAAGAAAGAAAACCCTGCAAGTCATCTAATATCCCCTTTCGACCCAAATCAAAGTCAAATGCAAATGAAACAACAGCAAAATCATGATATGGGATCTTGTCATTGTTAACTGAATCACTTTTCCCAAGCCATTCGCACCAAATTTTCTTGATTCCCTTTGAAACCCCTTCTTGTTCAAGGGACTTGAGAGAAATTTTCCCAATACCAATTTCTCTCACTTCTAAATCTGTAACTTTATCTTTGTGTAGCACATTGGGAATTATCAGATCATCAAGATCTAAACTCTCATCTCCTTGTCCTGAATCTAAGCTTCCCTCAGATGAAAGTTCATAGTCAGAAGCATTTCCTTTGAAAGCCACAATCGCGAGATTGTTTTCATTGATACTCCTTTTTTGCATTAAATTCCTCCCGTTTGAGGGTACTAAATGATTGTCTTCCTCGGTGTTATGGAAGAAAAGCATACCATCATTGAAGGGAAAAGGATTCTGTTTCAACAAGGTAGCTTTAGCAGCTTCATACATCTGTTTGTGAAGATGGCCACGTAGATGATCATGGAGAACTGAATCACTGTAACATGGAGCAAGACACAATACACAGAAGAAGATAACCTTCTTATTATCTTCCCTAAGCTCAACATACGTATGACCCTTCAATCTCACATTTCGCAATGCAGTTCTGGCCAACTGTTCTTTTAAACTGATAACGCCAGTTCTTTCTAGAACCCCTAACTCTTTGCCTCGTCCTGCCATTCAATACTCTCTTCCAGATTATACGAAACCCTAAATAACCTCAAATCCCCAAATTTCAATTGATTTGAAACCCTAAAAAGCTTAAATCGACAATGAGCACCAGATTTCAAATACAACGATTAATAGGATATCAGCAATCGTTCCTTAAACTACTTAAAAGCAATAAACAGTAAATTTTCACGAAATCGGAGCGATTTTAAGATACGATTCTTCAAATTTCGGATTACAGTCGACGTAAACGCCAGAAATTTACTTCACAGAAGAAAAGGGTGAAACCATACGCTTAGACGAAGAAAACCCTAAACTTACAACATCGAGGCGTACTTTGTATAGAATTTTTCGGAAACCGTAGAGGTATTAGATCCACCATTACAAGGGCTTGTTCTTGAACTCCAGACAGAACTTGAAGCGAGCAAAGCCCTCCCATGGACATCATATCCGAGTTTTGTTAGTCCGTATGTGTAACAGAGAATCTGAAAGAAAAATCAAAGCCAATTCGTATGATGATTTCGTTGATGAAGGCTCGAAGAACACGGGGAAAGTGCGAGAGGCGTATGGGAATGAAAATGAAAATGGGGGATTTGATTTGTGATTATTGGCCGTTGATGAATATGTAAGTTACCAAGTTGATTGGCTGTAGGCCGTTGATGTGGGTAGGTTGGATGTCGATAGCGTGTGGATGTTTAGAGAGGACCAAACAATATTCGAATTTTTAAGGAGGCATATGCGACTATGCGAGCTAGTAATAATTAGAGCCAATATATAATATAGTTGTACAAACTAAGGTAATTGCGATAAGATATAATTGATTAACATGTGATCGAATAAGACTCAACCTATTATTAGATATAGTAGACACAATAAAATGCATATAAGGGGTTATATTATCGGATTAGAGGTTTTAATTATGCTATAAACCGTTTAACCGAATCGATTTAATCTTATAAACACAATAAAACAAATATATAAAACAACACCTAATAGAAGTTATTGTATACTCACAAAATTGTATTTACAAAGAATTTAAGATAATACTTTACATTTTGCAAACTATTTACCAAACGTATATATTTTATCTAGAAAAGAAGCTATATTTTCACTGATAAATTACAAAAATTTTCATTTCCATTAAGTTATTTCGAATATCTTCGTGTTGTGGAATATGCTTGTTCGTCTAATAAGGTCGGAAAAATTAAAAGACATGCTTGTTCGTGTTGTGGAATATGTTTTTCGTATAGGGGTAAAGCGTAGGGGGGGGGGGGGGGGGGGGGCTAGCAAGGAGCACATGCTACTGCTACCCCTTAACTTTTCTAAAATAGTGTAAATTTTATTCGGTGTAAGCTCTAAGTTTTTGTTTTGCCCAGTCATGATAAAGCGTCTTAAAAAACTGCAAATATTGAAACATGGCTTATAATGTTCAACTTCAATTCTAACCAATTTATTTTATAACGCAGGGTTTATTGGATACGAGCATGTAATCGACAATGGGCATTCATGTTAAGGCATTATAATATGTGTGCCACTTATTTTTAAATGAAGAAATATAGTGCAACATGAATTCCACCCATCCATATATCAAACAATATCACATCTGAGATTAATCATTGGTTTATTAGAATGGATTGGTTTATTAGAATGGAGATATATTATAAAATGTTTGAAACATCTTGAGATTAACCATTGATTTATTAGCATGGAGATATATTATAAAATGTTTGAAACATCTTTGGGGGTGTTTGACTAAGCTTATTTAAGTTTTTTTTTTAGCTTATTATCGGTTTCATACCGGTATAAATTAAAAATGATGTTTGGATAGAAATAATTTATACCGGTGTCATACCAGTAATAAATCAAAATACATGAGTAAGACACCCCTAACTTATCAACTTATAAGCAATAAGCTATAAGTTGAAAATTGTTTATGGTTTTTCATACGCTTAGCCAAATACCCTCAAATATGAAACAAAAAAACATTATAAAATATATATACGAATTAATTTTTTCAAAACTTTTATAAGTATGAATGGCTTAACCTTTTACAAATATAAATGACTATTGAATAAACAAAAAATGGTTTTTCAGATTAAATATTGGAAATTTAGTGGCTTTTTTGAAAAATTCTCTTACAAATAAAAATATCTAGGTTACCGTTAGATTAACGGAAAAAGTCACATTGGCCTAACGAAGTATTTCGAATTTGCCTATTCAGTTTCCAAAAAAAAGTTATGCTTTATAAAGGAATAAACTCTGAAGTGACTTGAGCATTTTTAGTCGTTTTAGTCTCTCTAGCCTATATTAGCTAGGGCTGTTCACTATTTGAATAAAATCGAATTGTCCAATTGGACAATTTGGATTAGACTATTTGGTTCGGATATTCGAATCTTTGGATTGATTTTCAACAAAACTGAATTATTATTTTGGATTCCGGATTGGTTTTGGTTTATAAAATAAGAATCAAATAGTCCAAAAAAAACCGAATAAACATTTATTATTTATTTATTTATAATATATATCTAAAGTTATATATTAATTTTGTAATTTATTTTTTCAAATAGGTTCAAAACGTTTAATCCGATAAAAAAAACATTAATATGCAATTTCTATCAAAAGTTTTCTATCTATAAAATATTTAACTATGATATATCTTTTTAGTAGTTGTTTATAAAATTCAAAACACAACTAAATAATTTGTTTTCGCTTCTTGTGTAATGTTGGATAATATTATAATTATATGTTGTTTTAAAATACTTCGGTTTTTTAAAACCGATCCAACAGAACTGTAATTGGATTGGATCAGATCGGATTTGAATTTAGTTTAGAATATTTGGATCCATGTTTTGAAAACCGAAATCAATTTGGATTCACTTGATTGTCTACTCAAACCCATCCATCCAAATGAACATCCTAGAATTATTAGACAACGTTTTTCCATTTAAAAGTCAAAATCACAACATCCATATAACTCATTGTTCGATGCATCAGCGATAGGACGAGCAAAACCGAATTGAATGGGTTCACGATTACCAAAACCCTAACCTTCTCCTCTGTTGTAATTTGGACTCCATGTGAAATCCGTTGAGGCTTTTGAGGTTAAAAAGAGGTTCATTTCTTGAGGGCATCTGTTGATTGAATTCATGAGCGCAAACAGGCTGAATCTGATTAGTTGTTGGATGAAATGTCTCTGAAGGGCTGAAAATGGTAGTTGCAACTGGTATTTGGTACCCCTGATTATCATCTTGATTTGCATCACCAAGTGCATCAATGGCAACTTTGGCTTCCTTCATGAGTCAATCTATAGCATTGGTAGCTCGATCCAAAAAGATTCATGATCGACCTCAATCCAAGCCGCCTAAAATCATCTGCTTCATCGATTGCAAAAAGATTCATGTGTTTTATCGATTCCAAAAAAAATCACCTGCTTATTCTACCATTATTCTACCGAACTAGAAAAAGAAATCGGGATTCCAAACAATAAATTAGGAACCATATACCAGAAGAAATCAGACAAGAAATTGAACTCTAGATTTAAAACCGAACATGTACATCATGTGCTTCATTGGTTCCAGAAATCAAAATTCATGTATCGATCCAGGAAGTATAACCTAGCCGGTCTTGCACACCGTAAAATTGAATTGCAGTGTTAGGCGATAGTCGAATGCTCTTTCTTTCGTGCGGCTTTTGGTGCTGACATTGATTTGTCGGAAGCTCCTTTCAGACTGCAATTGATAGAGAAGAAGAAGAAGGTCTCGAATTTTAAACTGATGGATTGGAAATTGGCAGTTGAACTGGGCTGATGAACGATCCGAAAGAGAAGACAGATGAATAGAGTGATGCGGCTTAGGTTTCAGCACGACATGATGTCCGATTAAAGTTTTCTTCCAGAATTCAACAATTGAGTCAAAATATAGTCTTGGAGGTGATTATGATTGACTATTTGGTTGATTAGGTTGTAGTTGGTTTAATTGTTTTGAATAAAAAACTATATAAAAAAGCTGATGTGACTTATAAAACCGTATAGCATGACCAAAAAATTAGGTGGACATCTATTTTATAAAAAATTAGGTGGACATCTATTTTATGCTCCTATAAGGCATCTAAAAAAAAGTTTTAAATTGTTGAGCCAATTTGTCATTTTCCCTTAGATTAAATTCGTCAAGTAAAATTCAATTTTGTACTCATCTACAACCAAACATAGAACCAAAACATAGAACCAGATGCAATCAGATTCCAATGTGAAAAACAAATGCGATTAAGATGTAAAGGTAATAACTAAAATAAGAAGATTATATAGTGAGTGAATAACAAAAGGGGAAATCAAAGTACCACTCCAACAATAAGAGCATCCAAGAACAACCCCAATAACACATAATTGTAAAAAATTGTCAATAGATAAATGAGTTGCACTAAAAACAATAGAACTTATCACAACTGCTTTTTTCCATTCCATTCTTGACGCAAGAGATGTCAATAGAAATCCTCTATAAACCGTTTCCTCAAGAACCGGAGTCACAACACAATAAAGAAGAGTTAACCAAAACACCGAGAGGGGCCCACCCGAAAGAACTTCCTTCAAAATTGGGTTGTTCACATCCTACATCAAAACCACAAAAATTAGGGTTGATAATGTCATTGATATGCATTATTAGGGAAACATGCATTATTAGGGAAACAGAACTGTTTCCCTAATAATGAACAAAACACCCATATCCAGCTGACAAACTTTTGTCAGCTGGATATGGGTGTTTTGTGACTAACCTTGGGCCCGATTAATTTGTCGGCTACAAAAGATGTAAGGAAGATGAATGCAAGAAGGAAACCAAGTCCAATCAAAGATGCTAGAAGCCAATTTCTTTCTTTAGGGAAAACTCTAGTTTCAAAGAAGCTAAAAATGTTAAATGGCTTCTCGGAGAATTGTAGAAGTAACATAAATGCACCCAACTCTAAAGTTTGTATCAGAAGCAATGACAATGCCTGTTTCGAAAAAAGAAACATAAGAGTCAAATGTCGAAAATACCCTTTGAAAAATTGATAAGATAAAAGAGTACATTTAGATGTTGATAACTTGATCGAATCACCTGAATGTCGGGATTAAGATGAGTTTGATTCAGAAGTTGTGCAACAACAGAGAGTCCTCCAAAGCTCAGAGGAATGTGCAGGCTAAAGACATAAAAGGCCATGGTGCTCCATGTGCTTCCATTGTCGGATTCGAGGTCCGTTTTAAGAATTGAGAAAGCCTGCGATGAGTAATAGTTAGAATTGATTATCCAAAAAACCTAAATATGCATATGATTTAGAATGAAGAAGATTCTAATAACAATATTTAACTCGGGAATTCCATTGTTTTGGGATCGGAACCCTAAATAACCATGTGAATATGAACTTGAGAATCAATTAGAAATCGGAAGTGAATATGGAACAGATGATAAAATTGCTCGATTTGATGATAACGACACAGGAAAACAGAGAGAAGGGTTTAATCGATGAACCTGAGATGCTTTGTGGTTGCAATCTTTCCTGATGCATCGAAGCTTGAATGAAGAATCTTTGTTAACCCTTATGGAGGAAAGGGGGATAATGCGATTATATTGGAAGCTTCCGATCGATCTACCTGGAGCTCTTGTGAGACTGGAAAATCGCCGAGGAAGATGAACCGTTAGCATTGTCATATCCGAAACCACATAGATTCATTCGGAAATGTATAATAAATCAGTAAATCACAAATGTTGTTTAATACTTTAATTTTAAAAAATAAAAAAAAAATAAAAAAAATTCAATAACTTTTTACATTTAACAAAATTTTCAAACTATAATCAGGAATAATAGAATAATTGTGATTAAAAGAAATAAACTATTATTCTATAAAAAAAGAATAAACATATGTTTTTTTTTTGTTTTTTTTATATATTTAGCTTATGATATTTTGAAATATTTTAATATGTATTTTAATTTAACTTTTAAACATATTTTTGTTGTTGTTTATAGGATTTACAATTTTCACCATAATATAATAAGTTTAAGGCATAATTAAAAGAAAAATGAGTAATAAAAAAATAGGGTATTAACAAAATTAATCTTTATGAATAAGTTAATTAACAAAGATGATTATCTATTATCTCATTCATGATAATAATCACTTCGTCCAAATTATCATGTTCTAGGGTAACAGCAATGTAGATGAGATGTGATAGATTTTTTTTCTAACATAGCAAAAAGAATGTACATTCCACGATGAGATAGATGAGATGTGACATAGAGAAAATTTCAGAATCTAAGATAACAAAAATAATCTGAATCCTGCTGGGTTATCTATGCATCATTATACACTATCATGGCATTGGAAACAAAACAAGATACTTATGTGTACATGCACCATAGGATCTAGGTTTTGCTAGTTATGACAACCTAATTTAAACTCGAACCAAAGACGGATAAAATACTAACATCTTGTTGCTTTGACTGAGACCTCGTAAGTGTTGGTTCTTGCAATGGATGATGGACCTAATAGTGAATCTCTCTAATATAGTAAGACCCAAAACTCCAAAAGCCAAATAAGAAGTAATCCTTTTGAAGCTGGTTCGAAAATTATTAACCCTAAGAGAAAAGGTTATGATTTCCGACAATATAAGAGATGGGAAAATGGTGGACGGTTTTCATAGAGAGAATCAACATCTAGGGTTTGATCCCTATCAGTCTAGTTATAGGCAACAAATAAATCCTTAAGCAATTCAAATACCTAAGATAATGCTTACCTTATTCAAAACCTACCTTATCCCTATCCATGGATCCTCAAAATCATCCCCTACCTCTTCTTGGAGGCTTCTGTGATATTCCAATTAATCTCTAAAATTTAATTAATATTCAAGCCTTTTATTTAATAAAAACTATTTAATTCATCCAAAATAATTTCCAATTAATTTACTAATTACTTAACAAATTAACAACTTATTTTTTTCTATTTCCACATTGTTAATTATGTTATGAGACCAACCCAAAAGGATCATGTTATTATTAAAAATATTACTAAATAGTTAATGACCTTAGTATTTCCAACACATTCCATACCAAATAAAATGCATTTCATATTAAATAAGATACATTTTGGACATCTATTTTGCACACCATTACAGATTGTTTTTAATGAATTCACCAAATTAAGTTCACAAAGAAAGGTTTATCAACCTCTCTCTTTATTGTCATAATTTTCAAGGAACCAATACTGTAACATCTAGTTTCGAAGCACTTCCATTGTTGAACCTATATTGAGATTTATTGCATTTTTGGTCCATAAGTTAAGAAAGAGTGGAAAAAAGGGCCCATAGTGGCTTTTGGTGGAAATTGGGTCGGATGAGTACGTCGTGCGTACGTGTGTGTACGCTGAGCGTACTAAGGCGCACCTTAGTACGTTGGGCGTACACTTCGTACGTGAGGCGTACATGGTATTCATGCAAACCCTAATTTTAGGGCTTTGGTTCATATTTAAGCAACATTATAGACACAAACCCTCTTCTTACCCAACATCCTTCTGTGTTTTCGACATTCAAGCAAACCTAGAGCAAGTGAGAGCAATTTTGAGCCTTAAAGTGAGATTTGTGGTAGTTTGGAAGAAAGAAGAAGGTGGTTAGAAGATCTTGAAGTTGAAGTACGCCTTAGATATGAGATTGTTACTTGGTTTGGGGCATTTTGAAGGTATAAAGCTTGCATCTTTACTCCTTTATCTTGTAGATGTAGGTTTTTGCTCTATTAAGCTACTTTTTTGTCCCAAGTGATGATTCATGAACAAAGCATGTTTTTGACCCATTGAACTGTCCTTTCAGACCCATGGAAGGGACTTGAATCATAAAAATGGATTCCAAGTGGTTAGCTTTTCCCCATGCATCATATAAAAGGTCTTAATGGATTAAGAAGTGGAAATAAGCATTTAATAGGCATGCACAGTCATAAAGTTGCAAACTTTATGACTTTTGAGAGTATTTTAGCCATAGATCTGAAAAATGGATGTGAGTGCTTAAGCCCTTATGCACTTAATGGATTTTTGGACTTCTGGGAGTATGCCTCACATACTTGGAGTACGCCCTACGTACAAGGACAACCACCCTGATGGTGGTCAACATGTGAATGCGCGGATATGCCCAGCATACCTTCGGAGTACGACCTCGCATACTCACTCTGAGTTGACTCGGCTGGGTTGACTCAATTGACTTAGTTGGTTTGACCAAGTCGACCTTAAGGGTATTTTGGGATTTTTTTCTTAAATTTGTCATTTGGTTGGAATAGGTGTTGATTAGAGTTGAGACTCAACATTGGGACCTCATCAACTACTTTTTAGACTGTGAGGTGAGTTTTCCTCACTGTACTTGTGGGTCGAAGGCACCAAGGTCGTCCCTTTGAGTTTGATATCATGTTATGCATGTCATCATGCTATATTGATCTGTTAGATCGGTATCCTGGTATATAGGATGATGCTATGCTTAGTGATCTGTAGATTTGCCTGACTGTTTGTAGACTGTTATATTTGTGCGTAATCCAACAGACCGGGGGGCATACCGACCCGATGGTTGGCATCCCGAGGGTGACAGGACCTGTTGTAGATTGGCATTCCAACCCGATGGTTAATGGGCATGGGGTATTCCAATCCGATGTTTGATGGGCCTGGGGTATTCCAACCCAATGGTTGACTGGACCTAGGGTGTATTGGCATTCCAACCTGATGGTTGATTGGGGTTGGGGGGAGGGGGGTATTCCAACCCGATGGTTGATTGGACCCGACATGTTGTTATTGGTATATGTTATTTTTTTGTGAGCTGGTAATTGGGGGAATTCACTAAGTTTCGTGCTTATAGTTTTGGGTTTGTGGTTTCACGCACTTTAGTGGACCGTGGCAGGGCGAAGGCATGACCGTACACATCCTTGGTTTTACAACTAATTAGATCTTGGGAGACTCTGATTTTAAATAATGTTTTGGAAATAATAGTTTGTAAACACTTTTATTAATAAATGGGTCGTTTTAAAAGATTTAAATTTGTTGAAATTTTTGGGATGTTACAAGTTTGTATCAGAGCCTTGGTTTGCGTGAATTGGAGGAACACTCGTGTGAATCCAGTCTCAAACTAAGGAAAAAGGGTTTTAAAAATGATTTCAAAATAACCAAAAAGGATATGATGTGTACAATCAGCATAGCTAGTAAGTAGACCCCACTTACCACACTGTTATATGATATTGTGATATGCTAGAACAGCATGCTAGTGATAGGCTAGGTATCTTTAGGAATTGCAGGATAGAATTGTTTGATTATATGATGCTTGGTAGCCTAGGGTTCCTTCTTATATGGAATTGACATCATAACTATAGTTGCTTAGTGTATGAATCATAATTGTACATAACTAAGATTCTATAGCTTGATAATGTTTGGTTTTGCCTCATTTCCTGTTATTATCTGATGAAGGGCTTAGGGTATAATCGAGTATTCGTTTGTCTATAGGATCCAGTGTTATGTATGATTAGCATACACGAGTGTTGCAGGGTTGGTGGAAGTTTCATTAGTGGGTGCAGTGCATGGCGGGTCAGCATGAGGATTAATAGCCATTCTTGAGAGAGTGAGGTCAGAACGAAGGTGTATCCAACATGCTGGGATTTAGAAATCGAGAAGTTCTCCAAAGCTCAGAGGAATGTGAACACTAAAGACATAAAAGGGCATGGTGCTCCATGTGCTTTCATTGTCAGATTGGAGGTTCGTTTTCAGAACTAAGAAAGCCTGCGATAAGTAATAGTTAACCTAGTTTATGCAACTGGAATTGATAATCTAAAAAATCTAAATATGCATATGAATATATGATTTAGAATGAAGAAGATTCTAATAATAATATTTAACTTGGGAATTTCATTGTTTTGGGATCGGAACCCTAAATAACCATGTAAATATGAACTTGAGAATCATTAGAAATCGAAAGTGAATATGGGACAGCTGATAAAATTGCTTAATTTGATGATAACGACACATAAAAATAGAGAGAAGGGTTTAATCGATGAACCTGAGATGCTTTGTGGTTGCCATCTTTCCTGATGCATCGAAGCTTGAATGAAGAATCTTTGTTAACGCTTATGGAAGAAAAGGGGGTAATACGATTATTTTGGAAGCTTCCGATCGATCTACTTGGAGCTCTTGTGAGACTGGAAGCTCGCGGAGGAAGATGAACCATTAGCATTGTCATATCCAAAACCACATATTGTAGTTTCATTCGGAAATGTATAATAAATCACAAATGTGGTTTAATTACAAAAAATGTTCTATAACTTTTTACATTTAACAAAATTTTCAAAGTATAATCAGGAATAATATAATACCATTAAATGAAATAAACTATTATTCTATAACAAAAAGAATAAGCATATGTTACTTTTTTTATATATTTAGTGTATGGTAATTTGAAATATTTTATTATGTATTTTAATTTAACTTTTAAACATGTTTTTGTTGTTGTTTATGGTATTTACAAATTTTACTATAATATAATAAATTTAAAGTATAATTAAAAGAAAAATGAGGAATAAATATAGGATATTAACAAAATTAATCTTTATGAATTGTAACAACCAAACCTTGCAGGTAAATTCATTCCCTTCATTTTTTTTAAGTTTTGATGTTGGGTGTGTATCTACGTAGGGCATAGATAGCCTTCTACGTATTGTGTA